AAGATTACACACCCAGCATCAACCCAGGCAATATCCAACACCAAGCATCACTCCCACACAAGATCACACACCCAGCATCACCCCACACAAGATCACACACCCAGCATCACCCAACACAAGATCATACACCCAGCATCAATCCACAGAAGATCTCACACACCCAGCATCACCCTCACACAAGCTCACACAACAAGGAACACCCATCACAAGATCACAACACCCAGCATCACCCTACACAAGATCACACACCCAGCATCACCTCACCAAGCACACAAGTTCACTCACCAGCATCACCCCACTCAAGAACACACACCAAGTATCGCCTCACTCAAGCACACAAGATCACACACCAAGCATCACCCTACACAAGATCACACACCCAGCATCACACCACGCAAGATCACACACCCAGCATCACCAAACACAAGATCATACACCCAGCATCAATCCACAGAAGATCTCACACACCCAGCCTCACCCCACACAAGATCACATACCCAGCCTCACCCCACACAAGCTCACACGCCCAGCATCACCAAACACAAGCACTCAAGTTCACACTCACCCAATATCACCCCACACATGCACCCAAGATCACGCACCCAGCACCACCCCACATATGCACTCAAGATCACACACCAAACTTCACCCCACTCAAGCACTCAACATCGCACACCCAGCATCACCCCACACAAGATCACACACCCAGAATCACCCCAAAGAAGATCAAACACCCAGCATCACCCCACACAAGATCACACACCCAGCATCACCCCAACAAATCACACACACAGCATCACCCCACCAAGATCACACACCAGCATCACCCCACAACATGATCACACACCCAGCATCACCGCACACAATATCACATACCAGCATCACCCCACACAATATCACACACCCAGCAATCACCTAACACAAGATCACACACCCAGCATATCACTCCAAGCAAGTTTCACACACCAGCATCGCCCCACACAAGATCACACTACCAGCATCACCCCACGCAAGTTCAAACACCCAGCAATCACTCCACACAAGGTCACACGCCCAGCATCACCCCACATAAGATCACACAACAGCACCAACCCACACAAGCAGTCAAGGTCACACACCCAGCATCACCATACACAAAATCACACTCCCAGCATCAGCGCACTCAAGATCACACACCCAGCATCACCTCACACAAGCACACAAGTTCACACACCCAGCATCATCCTAACAAGATCACACATAGCATCACATCTCTCAAGATCACACACCCAGCATCACCCAACACAAGATCACACACCAAACATCACCCCAAGCAAGATCACACACCCAGCATCGCCCCACACATGATCACACACCCAGCATCACCCCACGCAAGTTCAAACACCCAGCATCACTCCACACAAGATCACACGCCCAGCATCACCCCACATAAGATCTCACATACAGCACCAACCCAAACAAGTAGTCAAGATCACACAACCAGCATCACCCCACAAAGGTTCACACACACAGCATCACCCTATACAAAATCACACACCCAGCATCACCCCACTCAAGATCGCACACCCAGCAATCACCTCACACAAACACACAAGATCGCACACCCAGCATCACCCACAAAAAGATTACACACCCAGCACACCCCACACAAGTTCACACACGCAGCATCACCCCACACAAGCACTCAAGATCACACACCCAGCATCACCCCACACATGCACCCAAGATCACGCACCCAGCACCACCCCACACATGCACTCAAGATCACACACCAAACTTCACCCCACTCAAGCACTCAACTCGCACACCCAGCATCACCCCACACAAGATCACACCCCAGAATCACCCCAAACAAGATCACACTCACAGCATCACCCCACAAAAGATCAAACGCCCAGCATCACCCAGAAAAAATCAAACCCCCAGCTCCCCCCACACAACTCACACACCAGCATCCCCCTTTCCAAAAATCCCAAAAACAGCTCTCCCCACTCAAGACACCACCAAACATCCCCCCACCAAGAAACCAAGGTCACACCCCCAGATTCCCTCATAAGATCCCCCCGCAAACCCCACTAAGATCACACCCCCACATCCCCCCCACACAAGATGACTCCCCAAACCCTCCCCCACACACAAGCACACAAGCACACACGTAGCTCACACCTCACAAGCAGTGAAGATCACACACAAGCATTCCCCCCACTCAAGTCCACCCCCAGCACACCCCACACAAGATCGCACCCACTCCCCCCCCAACAAGACACACACCCGCCTACACACACCACAACACACAAGTACAAAAGAGATCAACCTCACAAGCAGTGAAGATCACCCCCAGCATTACCCCCACTAAAGATACACACCCACATCCCCCCAAACAAATGCACCCCAGCATCACCCCACACTAGATCAAACACCACCCTCACCCACACACAAGTACACAGCTCCACAGGGAGCACACCCCCACAAGCGTGAAACAACCCCCAGCATCACTCCACGCAAGTCACACCCCCAGCATCACCCACTCAAGAAAACCCCCAACATCCCCTACACAAGTCACACGCCCACATCACCCCCACTGATCAAAACCCAGCATTCCCACTCTGTCATCACCCGTACACCCCAGCAAGTTACACCCCCCTGATCCCCCCCCACAATTAAAACCCCCACAAAAACTCCACAAAGAATACACTCCGAGCACACCCCACGCAAATCAAACCCCCAAACTCACCCCACACAAGTCCACCCCAAGCATCCCCCTTCACAAAATACACACCCAGATCCCCCATAAAGATCACACACCGAACATCACCCCACTCAAGCACTCAAGATCACACTCCCAGCATCACCCCTCACAAGATCACACACCCAGCATAACCCCACGCAAGATCACACACCCAGCGTCACCCCACACAAGATCACGCACCCAGCCTCACCCACACACAAGCACACAAGATCACACACGAAGCATCACACCTCACAAGCAGTCAAGATCACACACCCAGCATTACCCCCACACAAGATCACACACCCAGCATCACCCCACACAAGATCGCACACCCAGCATCACCCCACACAAGATCACACACCCAGCATCACCCCGCGCAAGATCAAACATCCAGCATCACCCCACACAAGATCACACACTCTGCATCACCCTATACAAGATCACACACACAGCATCACTCCACTCAAGATCACACACCCAGCATCACCCCACACAAGCACTCACGATCACACACGCAACATCACCCCACACAAGCGCTCAAGATCACACACGAAGCACCACCCGACGTATGCACGGAAGATCACACACAAAACATCACCCCACACATGTACTCAAGATCACACACCCAGCATCACCCCACACAAGATCACACACCCAGCATCACCCCACTTATGATTACACACCCATCATCACCTCACACTTGCACACAAGATTACACACCCGCATCACTCTACACAAGATCACACACTCAGCATCACACCACGCAAGATCACGCACCCAGCATCACCCAACACAAGATCACACACCCAGCATCACCCCACACAAGATCACACACCCAGCATCACCGCACTTATGATTACACACCCATCATCACCTCACACTTGCACACAAGATTACACACCAGCATCACCCTACACAAGATCACACACTCATCATCACACCACGCAAGATCACACACTCAGCATCACCACATACAAGATCACACACCCAGCATCACCCCACACAAGATTACTCACCCTGCATCACCCCACACAAGATCACACACCCAGCATCACCCCACACAAGATCAAACACCCAGCCTCACCCACACACAAGTACACAAGCTCACACACGGAGCATCACCCCACACAAGCAGTGAAGATCACACACCCAGCATCACTCCCACGCAAGATCACACACCCAGCATCACCCCACTCAAGATCACACACCAAGCATCACCCTACACAAGATCACACGCCCAGCATCACCCCACACATGATCAAACACCCAGCATCTCCTCACTCATGATCACTCACCCAGTATCACCCCACGCAAGATCACACACCAAGCATCACCCTACACAAGATCACACGCCCAGCATCACCCCACTCAAGATCACACACCAAGCATCACCCTACACAAGATCACACGCCCAGCATCACCCCACACAAGATCAAACACCCAGCATCACCCCACACAAGATCACACACTCAGCATCACACCACGCAAGATCACGCACCCAGCATCACCCAACACAAGATCACACACCCAGCATCACCCTACACTAGATCACACACCCAGCATCACCCCACTGAAGTTCACACACCCAGCATCAACTCACACAAGCACACAAGATCACACACCCAGCATCACCCCACTGAAGTTCACACACCCAGCATCAACTCACACAAGCACACAAGATCACACACCCATCATCACCCCACTCAAGATCACACACCCAGCATCACTTCACACAAGCACACAAGATCACACACCCAGCATCACCCTACACAAGATCACACACTCATCATCACACCACGCAAGATCACACACCCAGCATCACCACATACAAGATCACACACCCAGCATCACCCCACACAAGTATACAAGATCACTCACCCAGGATCACCCTACACAAGCTCACAATATCACACACCCAGCATCAACCCACACAAGATCACTCACCCAGCATCACCCCACACAAGATCACACACCCAGCATCAGCACATACAAGATTACACACCCAGCATCACCCCACACAAGTATACAAGATCACTCACCCAGGATCACCCTACACAAGCTCACAATATCACACACCCAGCATCACCCCACACAAGATCACACACCCAGCATCACAACACGCAAGATCACACACCCAGCATCATCCCACATAAGATTTAATGCCCCCATTTAACAATAACATGAATATCACTCAATTTCGCTTTCGTAAATCCTCCTCCTATGTAATGGTCTCTAGGACCGCATTATTCCAGAGTAGCACCCGCCTTACCGTTGAATATTCGTGAATCTGCTTGCTGTCGATTTCTGGGTCATGCTGGAGGTGGGCGCCGTCCTTTAGCCAGTTTATGGTGATAGGTAGGTCTCCTGAACTAACCATGCATACCACCTGCGTCCGCTCTCCTTCTTGAAGGTTAGGACGGAACGAGAATGGTTCGATCACTGGGGGTTCTGTTTAGAGAGCAAGTTGTCAATGTACAAAAATACCTCAATAATAGTAAGTGAAAAAAAATGTGATCACGCTTTATGGAAGTATATTTACTGACGAAACAGGAACTAATGAAAAGAGCAGGGAAGAAAACCAGTGATAACTAGACATCACGATGTCATAGGATGAAGTGAAGGAGCTACTAACTCAATTAAGCACACCAAATGCAATGAGATTTAATTGGGCGTTTCCCTCGGACATTAAAAGCTAGTAAAAGTCAACAAGAAGGAGATGGTGGGAGGGTACATTACGAAAGCTTAAAAGGCACAGCCCTCGATAAAGTACCTCACAAGAGACTCTTAAGAAAAGTGGCAGCTTATGGTATTGGAGGTAAAGTTCTAGCATGGATAGAGGCATGGCTTACCAAGAGAAAGCAGAGAGTTACCATTAATGGAGTGAAATCTGAATGGGGATTAGCCACTAGTGGCGTTCCACAAGGATCAGTTTTAGGCCCTCTCTTGTTCATAATTTACATTAATGACTTTGATGAAGGGATTACGAGTGACATGAGCAAATTTGCTGATGATAGCAATGAACTCCAAGAAGATTTGGACAAATTAATGTCTTGGTCTGAAAAATGACAGATGAAGTTCAATGTGGATAGTGCTTGGTAATGAAAATAACCCTCGAAGCTATAAACTAGGTGAAGCAGAGCTTGATCATACAGAATGTGAAAAAGACTTGGGAGTCATGGTAAGCAGAAATCTAAAGCCAAGACAGCAGTGCCTTAGTGTGCACAACAAGGCCAACAGATTACTGGGATTTATCTCAAGAAGTATATGTAACAGAAATCCAAAAGTTATTTTACAGCTCTGTACATCACTAGTGAGGCCTCATTTAGGTTATGCCACTCAGTTTTGGTCTCCTTACTACAGGATGGACATAGACTCATTGGAGAACATACAGAGAAGAATGACTAAAATAATTTACTGTGTAAGGAACCTCTCTGCGAAGAAGTGTCTTGTGTGCTCCCCGTGGACTGAACTAAGATGCCCTCCATCGAGCAACTTCACAAGCAGCTTAAGGAAGAATTGAGGGTAGCGAAGATGGAGATACGGCGATTGACTGAGGAAAACAAGAGGATTCGTAGTAGTCCTCCTGGTTTGAGTCCTCAGGTCAAGAAGGGAACGTGGTCAGTGGCTGGACAGCATGGGAAAAGTTGACGATCAAGAAGACGAATGGAAAGGTAGAAACGATGGAGTAGAAAGAAACTGCTGTGGAAACTGTTGTGGTAACATCTAATGCATTCTCCATACTGGTTTAGAAAGACACGTAATCAAACACTATGACATATTTATTAGAAAACGTTTCGGTCCTGGAACCTTCTAACATACAACTTGTCGGTATTTATTACCAAGGTTTATACCATTCTCCATACTACCCGACGAATGTGAGTCGACTACTGGGATCGTCACGACGAACGACACCAAGGAAGGTAAGAATATTGTTGTTGTTGGGGATAGCCAGGTTAGGTACATGGATATGGCATTCTGCTTGAAGGACAGGAGTAGGAGACAGAGGGTTTGCTTTCCTGGGGCTGGGATGGAGGATATTGTTAGCTGGCTTGACAACATCATGAACGGTAATGGGATCAATCCAATTATGTGCCTCAGTGCTGGAGGCAATGATGTAGGCAAGCGTAAAAGTGAGAATTTAGTTAAAAGGTTCAGGACAGCAATAGACATAATTAGGAAGAAGGGGGGGCGCCCTGTTATATGTGGCATTTTGCCAAGAAGAGGTGTTGGTAATGAATGGTTGTCCAGAGCAATTGGTATTAATTGTTGGCTGGATAAACACTGCAAGGATAATGCAGTACCATTTATTGACAACTGTGACAACTTTTATGGCCGAAATGACATGTATGCCAGGGATGGGGTTCACTTATCCAGGGCTGGTGTGGGTTTTCTTGCTAGCTCAGTTGAGGGGGTTGTTAGGACTTTAAACTAGGATTAGTTAGAGGCATGGGTTTAGAAATGATAAATAATGAGTATGGATATATTGACTTATGCTCTGATATTAAGTATCTTAATAGTAAATGTAATGAAGTAACTCTGGGTAATGATAATTTCAGAAATTGTGTAAAAAAAGATGAATAGGAAAAATGTGCAGAAGAAAAAACATATGATGGTATTTTATGCTAACAGTCATAGTGCAAGAAATAAGATTAATGAACTACGTTTGGTAGCATGTGCTGGGAACTTTGATGTCATTGCATTAACTGAAACCTGGTATGATTTAAGGAGTCGGGATGTGATTGCTGAGTGTAATATTCAAGGGTTTAAGTTGTCCCATGTGGACAGATGTAATGGGAAGGGGGGAGGAGTTGCATTATATGTTCGAGAAAATATTAACTGTTGCATAAAAACAGGTATAAAAATAGTTGGAACAGTAACAGAATCTGTTTGGGTAGAGTTTGTAGAAGGTCAAGAAAAACTAATTCTGGGTGTAATATACCGACCTCCGGTTTGGATCACGATAGAGGGAGACATCTTTGGGACGAAATTGTTAGGGCTTCTAGACACAATAACATAGTGATAGTAGGGGACTTTAACTTTAGTCAAATAGACTGGAATTCTTTGACCGATAATCTAGAGTCCAGTGAATTTATGGAAACAGTTCAGGACTGTTTTCTGAAACAGTGTGTAACAGAGCCTACCAGGGGTAGAAATTTGCTAGACCTAGTCTTGTCAAATAAGGAAACACTTAAATAATCTGGAGATCACTGAAGAGCTTGGCGCAAGTGATCACAAATCCATCACTTTTAGCATTAACTGGGAATATAAGAATAATGATAATACGCTAAAAATCCCTAATTTCCGTTCTGCCGACTATAATGGACTTAGGGAACACCTGTCAAATCTCGATTGGGGTTATCTAGCTAATGATTTTATTGACGATGATCATACTTATGGTTATGAAGGGATCTGCATTTATGATTTTTTTTCTTAATAATGTCCATCGTGCTCAGAGTATATACATTCCCCAGAGAGAAATTAGGTCTAATAATAACGATCCCAAATGGGTTAACAGGAGGCTAAAGCATCTATTAGGGGAGAAAAGTGGAATTTATAGGCGCATCAGAAGAGGAGAGGTTAACCTTACTGACCAATATGTTCAGCTTAAAAGAGAAGTAAAAAAGGCGATTAGAAAGGCTAAACGTGACTATGAAATTAGAGTTGCTAATGAATCAAAGACTAATCCAAAGGGGTTCTTTCAGGTGTATAGGACGAAGGTGAAGGAAAAAGTAGGACCTCTGAAATCTGGGAATGGACAGCTGACGGATAATGAACTGGAAATGTGTTCCTTATTTAATGACTATTTTTTGTCAGTTTTTACACAGGAAGATGTAAATGAGATTCCAGTAATTAACAATTATTTAGTTCCTGATGTCACGAGGGACATGGTTATTAAACAGATAGACAAACTGAAACAAAATAAGTCCCCGGGACCCGATGAGTTGTTTTCAAGGGTACTTAAGGAATGCATAGATTTATCCAACCTAAATTTGAAACTACCCAAAGTCCTAGCCTCAATAACCCAACTAGGTAGACTGTTCCACACATCAACTACCCTATTTCCAAACCAATACTTTTCCTATGTCCTTTCTAAATCCAGGGTACTTAAGGAATGCAAGATGGAGCTTAGTCAGCCATTAACGAGTGTATTCAATGCGTCCATCCTTACCGGTGTTGTGCCACAGTTGTGGAAGATGGCTAATGTGGTTCCTGTATTCAAATCAGGGGATAAGTCCACTCCTTCAAATTACCGTCCACTAAGCCTGACATCTATAGTGGGCAAGTTATTAGAATCAATTATAGCTGACATTGTCAGAAGTCACCTTGAAGAGCATAACTTCATAAATGAATCTCAGCATGGATTCACGAGAGGTCGTTCCTGCCTGACAAATTTACTGACGTTCTTCAATAGAACATTTGAGGCAGTTGACAGTGATAAAGAATATGATATTGTTTATTTGGATTTTAGTAAAACCTTCGATAGAGTACCTCACAAGAGACTCTTAAGAAAAGTGGCAGCTCATGGTATAGGAGGTAAAGTTCTAGCATGGATAGAGGCATGGCTTACCAATATAAAGCAGAGAGTTACCATTAATGGAGTGAAATCAGAATGGGGATTAGTCACTAGTGGTGTTCCACAAGGATCAGTTTTAGGCCCTTTCTTATTCATAATTTACATTAATGACCTTGATGAAGGTATTACGATTGACATGAGTAAATTTGCTGATGACACAAAGATAGGCCGTATAATTCATTCTGAGGAGGATAGCAATGAACTTCAAGAGGATTTGGACAAATTAATGTCTTGGTCTGAAAAGTGGCAGAAGAAGTTCAATGTCGATAAGTGTAAGATACTAGTCCTTGGTAATGAAAATAGCCCTCACATTCTGATCATACAGAATGTGAAAAAGACTTGGGAGTCATGGTAAGCAGAAACCTAAAGCCAAGACAGCAGTGCCTTAGTGTGTACAACAAGGCTAACAGATTACTTGGATTTATCTCAAGAATTATAAGTAACAGAAGTCCAAAAGGTATTTTACAGCTCTATACATCACTAGTGAGGCCTCATTTAGATTATGCTGCTCAGTTTTTGTCCCCTTACTACAGGATGGACATAGACTCATTAGAGAACATACAGAGAAGAATGACTAAAATGTCTAAGGAATCTCCCGTATGAAGATAGACTTAAAGCCTTATTATAACAAGAGCAATTTATTTTAGCCTAACCCAACTAAATATATTTTAGATTTTTTTTATAATAATTTAATACTAAAACAAACACAGTGAATTATATTTTTTTCCTTAGGCTTATATATATATATATATATATATATATATATTATATATATAATATATATATATATATATATATATGAACACTGATCTCTGGCTGAAGGAGACTCGAACCTACGAACCTTAGGACAAGGTACGCAGTGCTTTACCAATCTACCCACACTGGACCAATACCTTGGCGTGTAGCATGCGCTACACGTTTGATATAAGGCAGCCAGCTTTCAGAGAAGGCTTACAGCTTTTCATCTCATCCCCTGCATGCATCAGCCTTACTAGAGATTTGAACAATGCAAGGAATTCGCGAGAGCATGCGAAATATACACAAACACTGATCTCTGGCTGAAGGGGGACTCGAACCTACGAACCTTAGGACAAGGTACGCAGTGCTTTCCCAATCTACCCACACTGGACCAATACCTTGGCGTGAAATGACCTAGCGCATGCTACACGCCAAGGTATTGGTCTAGTGTGGGTAGAAATTTGGTAAAGCACTGCGTACCTTGTCCTAAGGTTCGTAGGTTCGAGTCTCCTTCAGCCAGAGATCAGTGTTTGTGTATATTTCGCATGCTCTCGCGAATTCCTTGCATATATATATATATATATATATATATATATATATATATTATATATATATATATATATATTTATATTTAAGAGAGAGAGAGAGAGAGAGATTATAAGCCCTCAATGAGGACGTTTAATGTTAACTCTCTAAGGATGTGGAAAATATGAGTTCTTTGAGGAAAATAAATTATTTGTGGGCATGGATTTGGAGTGAGATGAGCTCATTGGGAACGATGAGGCTGGTAAACCCATTTAGGATACTGAGGAAGGTGGACTCACTGAGAACATGGAGGAAGGTGTGGGAGGAAGCACTCTGTCCCTGCCTGCTGGAAGCGACGCAGATGTAGCGACCGACGTTTTCATGGCTGGCGCTCCTTATCACCAGCGTTCCATTAGTCATAACCAGTTGCCTGCAACAACACCACATCATAGTCAGTACTACAATACCATCACATTACTCTCTTGTGATCCCAGTGAAAACACAGTGACTGCTGCAACACCAACGTATCTACTGCGCGTAACACTACCACTAACAACTAACGCTTGTACCTATTTCATTATTAACACAACACTCCAGAGAGATCAATCAATCAGTCAATCAAGTTTATTCTCTATAAAGATTACAATGCGGGGTTTACAGGTTTTGGATATTGTGTGGTTTACACGTTATAAAATACTAATTACAGAGAGGGCCACTAGGACACCTAGCATGGCTAGGCATTTTGGGCAGACTTAGATTAATTCTTAACTCTAAATTAATATAGATTATGGAGTAAGTTGGTATTAAGGCTAAGTGACTATATTATAGTGTGTGAGTTTCGCAATGTAAATGCTTTTGTTTTGGCACAATACAAAGTGTCTATATTGCAGTATCACAGGCAAACTTATGACTAGTTAGGATTCATTATTTTATGATTAAGATTCGTAACGGGAATACTAACACATTTGCTTGTAACACCTTAAATCAGCAACACTGCTTGTAACACCTTAAATCAGAAACACTACTGCCTTCCATACAGTATCATTTCTAACCCTGAGACAAATGCTGTATGATCAGTATGGGTTTAGTGCTTTCCTGTGAATGTATACGTCTTGTTTTATTGTTACCACTAATATTGTTGGTTTCATTATCATTACATACTAATTATGCTGTCTCTTTTATCCATGCCAACCCACCTTTAATTAATGTTCCTCTGTTTTTCTTATATATTCATATATTTATTAGCTTAAAACTAATAAATACATCAGAATTTTATCTGTTGCTGTTGACTGATGAGTTTCTGAGAGAAAATCATGCTAAAATGAAAAAACAAAGACACTGGTAGCAAATTGGTTTAACATGTTGAGTGTAGTAGTAGGTTGGTAGACACAACCACCCAGGGAGGTACTACAGTTCTGTAGTAGTAGGTTGGTAGACACAACCACCCAGGGAGGTACTACAGTTCTGTAGTAGTAGGTTGGTAGACACAACCACCCAGAGAGGTACTACAGTTCTGTAGTAGTAGGTTGGTAGACACAACCACCCAGAGAGGTACTACAGTTCTGTAGTAGTAGGTTGGTAGACACAACCACCCAGGGAGGTACTACAGTTCTGTAGTAGTAGGTTGGTAGACACAACCACCCAGGGAGGTACTACAGTTCTGTAGTAGTAGGTTGGTAGACACACTGTGGAAAATACTGCATATATTTTCCAGAAATACAGTAGTTATATGTAAATAGATGGCCATACTGCATTTAATAAAAATTATGTTATAAAAAATGGGAAATTCTGCGCCTGCGCAAAAGAGACTCGCCATGTTTGAACTGGTCAACAAAAACATTAGTGAATAATGAGAAGAATTTTCGTGCTCTAGAGGTTAAAATTGGGCTGACACCTCTCAAATAGGAGCCAAAATTGTTGGATGTGCATTCCTGCATAACTTGAGATATCAGGCGACTGGACAAGACAGCTCCATGAACCTCAGATAAGTCTTATGTTGTAACTCTGGCCAGTGTTATTTTCATAGATAGACAGTGAGGTTTTCTGAGTATGATACACATTAATCTCCAGTCAAACTGGTGAGTGATATTAAGATATATTCTCCTTCTGTTATGTAAATGTGTATATATAATCATTCATTAATTTTAATATACAGTCCACAAATTTATATATTTACCAGAATTCCTGGTGATACATATTTCATTTGTAATTAATAGGTCCAGAGCAACTTGTGGATATGACAGTTGTAGGTATCGAAGGGGGACATTTTTGTGACCTAGGTGTCCCAAATTCCTACTTGTCTATGTAACTTTGATAACTAATAATTATCTTTGTTATCATTTACTGTTATGTACACAATGAGTTACATTCAGATAAATGCAATTTTCCACATTTAATTTGCCCGTTGGTCCTTCTTGAACCAGAGGTAATTAGTGAAGTCATTAATTAGTTAATTACTTAATAATTATATGTGAAATGACAGAAGCAGGTGGATGTTAAGTTCACAAATTTACTTAATGTGTAGTGGATTATAATTATAATATTAATTTGGATAAGCCAAGTCAAGTATGACTAAAGATTATATTAATGTGTATAATATTAATTTTGCTATGCCAAATTCTGGCAAGGATTTATATTAATTTGTATAATATTAATTTTGATAAGCCAAGCCTGGCTAAAGGTTTGTATTAATGTACATTTAAATTTTATATTATAATTTTCTTACATGTGTAATTACTAAGCTCAAGTGTAGCTAACATTATTAATGTGTATTTAAAATTTATATTATAATTTTCTTACATGTAATTGCAAAGCTCAAGTGTAGCTAGGATTTATTTAAAAGTAAGTTGTACTATTTACCTTTATAAAGTGCATAATTTAGCACATAATCAGTGTTATTAATTAAGTTGAATTTAATACATTGCATCATGGCTGTAAATGAGGAAATTAATATAGAAGACAAACATATGGAATATGGAGCAAAAAAGCATCACTGCTAGCTAGAAAAGGTCATGCAACCAAGGCATATAATAAATGTTTGGAATAATTGAATCAAGAAACTGTGAATACTGGTGATTTAAAATTGTATTTAGATGCTGTAGGTAATAGATATGATTCATACAAATTATATTACAACAAATATGAAGGAGATTTGTTAGTAAACCGTGTAGATGAGACTGAAGTATATATGGTATGCAAAGAGTACGTAACCTTTATTCGGTGCATGTACACACCCTCATTTACAGGTTATCTCCCCCATCCAGCAAACCAGGTGACTGAGAGTTGACGATGGGGCCCCATCGTTCAACTAGTAACCAGGTTCCAACCAATAAGAAGATGGTTTTGGCAATCGCAGAGGTTATGTGGGTACCACTCTCCTGTCTGCCCTTGTCATTCCCATTCTAGAGCTGGTTGAAGCACGGTTTTTCTCTCTTGTGGCTTCTATTCTGCCTTGCACCGTGGAGTGCACTAATACCTCTCACTGTACATAGTGTATATAGTGTACATATTGCTGTTCTAAATTGGTGAAGGATAATATAAGTCAAAACTTTTCTGCTGTTTATTTTGCCCCTCTTTACACCCAGGGATAACAGGCCATTTTGGAAAACTTGGGGTTGTAATATGGGTAGCCTGTCCGAGAGCTGGAGCTGGACTTAGAGAAAGGGTTGAGCCTAAGGTGAAGCTGGTAGCAGGAACATTGTGCAGCTTGCTGTCTGGCATTGCATTAGCTTTGCCAACGCTTTACAAACTTTGCGTGTCAGTTACTTTGCTATGGTCAGTCTTACTATTGTGTGATCGTTCAAAAGCTCGCTACTAGCTTGATCGGTGGCTCTCGCTTCGCTACGGTCAATCTTGTAAACAGTGTGTAGCTTGCGTCTGGCATTGCTTTACAAATTTTGCGTGTCAGTTGCTACTAGCCTGTGGGGTGTGAAGGGATTTTGGCAGAGTTTGCAGGAAATCCCCTTGTGTCGTTTTTGCAATTACTTGCAAGCTAACTTTCTGCAAATCGTTATTGGGTATTTGAATCGTAACGTCCCATAGCTGTGTGTTCTGCAAATTTTTAAAAAGTTAGTTTGGGGATTCTCAATTTTAAGTCCCCATGCAAAAACTTAGCCTGCGGAACTTGGTGTGGGAAATTACTTTGTATAACCACCTTTGTCCTATAACGTTGTTGCAAATTGCTTTTTTTTATTGGTATTTCAACGAATCTACAGTGCGCAATGGTTACTGATTCGGAATTTTTCGGGGAAGAAAAAGGGGCACATCAGACCCCTTTTGGGGGCAAACAAAAACTACTTTTCTGCAGGAAATGTTTCAAGGACAAAAAGCATCTAAGTGCGCAGGGTTGTTCAAGGGAAAAATCACGACTTCCTTTGAGTGGCAAAAACAATTTTGGGCGCAGGGAAAAGAGAATTTCAAAAGAAAAATTTATAAGGGGAAAGGAAAGGGGCACCCCCTTTTTTTTTTTTTAAAAAAATTTTTTTAATAAAGCAGTACAGCTTATTCCCCGTTTAAATGGGCGAACCAGAAAAATTTTTCAAAAGCTTAAACAGGCTCAAGCTTTGAGGGGGGCCCGGAAACAGCATTGGTTCACACAGCTTTGTTTGGTAAGGCACGGGAATTTACGTCAGTTTAAGGAGCTGTTTTCGATTTTATAAATATAAAACCACGTTTGGGAGCTATCTTTACCCCGGCATTACAAGTTTTTAAAATTGGGCAGGCGCAGCTTGGTCAATCCCTTTTGATTTAGGACGCAACCAAAGCTTTTACCAGGGGTATAAAGCAAGTTTCCCCAAACTTTTAGGACCTGGGCCATTTTTTTTTCTGATTGCAACCTGGAGTCTTGGGCCCGAGGTTCGGTCTTTCTGCCCATTGGGGCAGCCGGGTTTGGGGCTGATACCTTCGAAATAACCGCTCCTGTCCGAGGGGTTTCCGTCCCTTTTTTTCAACAGCCGGCATAGCAGAGACGTCACCTTGGAGAATGAAGGCCGCCGGGGGGAAAAACGTCATGTCGCCAACAAGCCCTGGTGACCCACGCTTTTTCCCCCTTAGGTCCACCTGCTGGAGACAAACTATCAACAGGGTTTTGGGCATTCCGACAACATTATCCAGAGAGAAACCCCCAAAACCAAAAAAGTTGAATGTCAGCAGGGGAAAGTAAAGGGAAAACCCCTGTCGTCTTTCCCTTAAAAAATCCAAACAACTGCCCCAAAACCCCCAAATTTTGGGAAATGTCTTTTTTAAAGAAACCCCCAAAAAAAAAAAATCCCCTTAATTTTGTTTTTTTTTCCCTTAGGAAAACTAAAAAAACTGAATCAAAAATTTAAGGTACGGGCATATTCCATTTATGAGGGGTTATTTAAAAGGGAACACTTTTTAAACCTCGTTTTAGGGGCGGAATAAATTCCCCATTTTGCAAAAAATTTGTCT